TGTTTTGTTCTGTTCTTGCTAGGAGTCAGAACGGACTTGATAGTTCCGAAAAACAACAACATTCTAATGGGGTGGAGGTGGTATCTAACTGTGGTTTTGATTAACATATGTATTCATTTAAAATAGAAAATAATGCTTTATCTATAAAATTAATGTATCATTTGTTAAATGGGAATGTGAAATTCATTTTGATATGCTTATTATTAAAATACCACTTAACATTAGTTATTATATATATGTTGTTGTTGTTAAGTGCCGTGGAGTAGGTTCTGACCCATAGCAACCTTGTATAGGCTTCTGAGGAGCAGCTGGTGAGCTTGACCCGCCAACCTTGCAGTTCAAACGGCTTTGCTGTCTGGCGCATTAACCCACAGTGCCACACCAGGACTTATGTATATATATATGTATATATGTGTGTGTGTATATATATATAAAACAAAAAAATTTTTTAACTTAAAATTACTCATTTATCATATGCTACACAAAAGCCATTTTTTAAAAATTAAGAAATGCTAACTCTCTCTACATGACCTTTGGGACATGTAAATAGTGGACATTTGTATAGAAAATTTATTTTAATCTCAAAAATCCCTAAAGGAAGCATATATGAAAGCTGAGACGAAGTGAGCAACACTGCAACACTGCTTGTTATGCTTTATCTGCAACACCATGGTAATGCCTCTATGGAAAATTTACATCAAAAGACCTGTTTGTAGCAGACCTTCATTTCATTTGCTTACATTGTCCTTCCTCCAATTACAATGACATATAACACAAGGTGAGTGTGAAAGTCCACACACTGGTTTTTTCGTGTAGACTCCACAGCATGTTTCCTATTGTACGAATTCATAATCACCACACTCAAAATCTTTTCTTGATTATAACACAACCCCCATCCCCCCGCCCCAAACAACAACCTTTTAAGGTTTTAAAGTTGTTGTTGTTAAGTGCCATCAAGTCAGTTCTGACTCATAGTGACCCTATATAGGGTTTCCAAGGAGCAGTTAGTGCATTTGAACCACTGACCTTGTGGTTAGCAGTCCAGTGCTTATTCTACAGCACCACACTAGGAGGTCCTCTATGATCTAACCTCAGGCTCATCTAGTCTCATCTTCTACCTTACCCTCTATGCTAGAGTCACACATTTGCTAGAATATGAGTACTGACTTAACTTCTGTGGTCAAACTGGTCCCTAAGCCAAAATGACTTTCCTTTTCAAACTCTTAATCAACCATACCATACCTGTTGTTGAATGTTCAAATGTACCCTTCTCAATGAAGCTTCTCTGAATTTCTGACCATCCCCCCCCAAAATCATTCATTCATTCAACAAATACTGAGCACTTATGCACCTTATACTATGTAGGCACTGAAGATACAATGATAAGTCACACAAACATGATCTCTACCTTAATATTTCATTGCCTTGTTCTGAAGATCAAATGAGATACATATATAAAGCATTATATTCAGCACAGTAATGTTAAAATATATATATAGCTATTAGTGATGCTGCCTAATGAACCCATCTGAAATAGTTGCTTTCTTCCCCATATGCTATCATCACTTTATATCTTACTCTGGTTTATTTTTTTCTTAGCATGTCTAACTACTTCTCATTATATAATTAAAAATTTATTTATTAACTAGTTCCCCTACTAGGGGCCATGTCTTTTAAAAAATACTAACCCTAGTGCCTAGAACATCACCTGGCCCTTAGCAATAAAAAATCATCCATATTTCATTGATTTTTACAACCTGAAAGTGAAGACAAGATATTAATCACAGCAAGAAATGTAAAATTACAATGACATGTATGCTATGAAGAAGAGCTACATCATACAAAGGGATATGACCTTGGTTTTTTTTTTTTTTTGGGGGGGGGGGAGGTGAATAAAGCAGAGAGTTTCCCTAAATTCCTTGAAGTGAGAATGCCAAGATATGTCAGTTAAGCAGGTATAAAGAAAAAAGTACAACAGGTCATTCGTACACTTTGTTCCTTCTATTTGGACTATGCTTTCCATAACACAACTATCATTTAATCTTTTCACTTTTTCTTTAAATAACAACTTTTTATAATAAATTGGGTGGTTTATAAAGCAGATCTTAGTTTTATATTCAACAAATCATACACAGTTAAATTTTATCTTACTGACTGCAATCCCTTAATGTAACATAACAACCCATTCTGTTTTTCTTGTTTCCATTTCTGAACTTTGTTTACCTTCTGAGCTTTGTTTGACCTTTTGATCTTAAATGGTTGACCATTCTATGGTGTGCATACCTCACACCAGTGTTTTTGTTCCCTCTACATACTATGGCCCTTCAATTCTCTTCTTGAAAGCAGTATCTTCTGGTGAACCATTCCTAACTATGTTGTTAAGTGCCATAGAGTCAGTTATGACCCAAAGTGACCCTGTATAGGGTTTCCAAGGAGCACGTGGTGAGCTTGAAATTCTGACCCTGTGGTTCAAATTGATCCTGCAGTTCAGCGCAGTAGCCCACAGGGCCACACCAGAACTCCTAACCACATTATTCTGTAATCCCACAACTTCCCCTTCCGTAGAACTCACATGAAAACTCACTCTTTTTGTTTGATATCTATAATATCCACAACATAAGACACAGAAAAGCAGGGACCACATCTTTTTATTATATATCCCCAAGGCAGACACAGTCCATGGCATACCAAAAAACTGTTTGATAAATTAAAAGGGCTAGATGTTACAAATCTGTTTTCCAAGAAGTATAGTCAAAATGCTCCTTAGAAGGGAGGATGTTAAGACTTTGTCTCATGTACTTTGTACCAGTCCCTGCAGAAAGACGTGCTTGGTAAAGAAGATGAAGAGCTTCAATAGGATGGACTGGAACAGATACAAGAGAGTTTCAAAAAGTTCTTGGGAAAACAGCATTAAAATATAATGGATTTTTCCAAGAACTTTTTGAAGATCGCTCATGTTTGCCTTCTCTTCACTTTCTAGTACATAAACTCTCATTATGTGTGTGTATTTTAACAAATAAGAAATATCAAGCTGGTGGTAGGCAAAGTCTAAACCACAGTCATGCCTAATAATCTTTCCAGCCTCATTTCCTAATACATATCCTCATTCCCACATCCCTTCACACTAGGGAGTTCTCTACTTTCTATTTGTTATTGTTGTTAAGTATCCCTCTGTTTACATTCACAAAGAAGCAATATAATCCACATAAATTCTATTTCACCTTTCAAGTCCGGTTCAAATGCCACTTTTTGATCCTAAATTCCCAAAAAAGTTCAAAATTCCCCCTTCTATACTTAAATAAATTCATTTTTAGTGGATGGGCCAATGTTTCCAGAAAAACAGCAATTTGGTATCTTAGGTACTACAGCTCTTTATTCTTTAGAAAAGGGTTATCCCATCTCACTAAATTTCCCTTTTGCACCCTTGACATGTTGCCTCAAGCTTGTCAAGCAGTAAGATAAGATCATAAAGTGAACATTCAAGCACCTGCTTAGCCTTAGCAATAGAAATAACAGAAATAAGTAAGGCATAGTTGCTGCCTCAAAAAAAACTGGGTTCCATAGAAGAAAATACATTAGCACACAAAGTCAGTGATGAGTTGGGGTTGGGGGAAGAGTTGCAGACAGGAATGATAAGCTAAAACTACAGGAGTCAGTGAATTAGGGAAAGTTCACAGGTCAAATCATTTTATAGTAAACCACTTTTCTAAAAAACAGATGGGGAGAAATAGAAATTGATTAACCTCCTAGGAGAACATAATCCCCAGGACTTAGTTTTGGCTAAAATGTCTTATTCCACCCAAACAGAAGACCAAAATTTAACCAGTCCTACACAAAGGGGCTTCAAAAAGTTCTTGGAAACATACCAATAAATGCACTGCAACCCACGTGTAACCCAAGTCAATGCAAAACCAACCAAAGTCTCAACCTATTTTGAAACAGGAAGGGCAAAAAACAACATATAGAAGGTTCACCCAACCAAAAACAGAGTAGACCAAACAAGTGAACTCTTCAGAAGATATTAAAGAGACTGCCAGACTGATTTTCAACCCTCATTTGCCCTGGCATCTGTCTCCAAAGAAAAACAAATCATTTGTTCTGAGCAATCATCAAGCCTGTAACTAAGTATTTTTTTAATTCCCCATACTGGATCTCCACAAAAGACACTCAAAATAAAAACGAAGTTCAAACCATTTTTGGTTAGCTCTGCCAGAAGGTCAGACAGCTCGCTCACCGGGTCAGAGTCTGAATGCTGGCGCCCACCCCATCGCTGGAAAAAGCACATCATCTCTCAGGTTTTGCACTGACCCTCGGTAATAAGGCTTGCAGGCTCTTCCCAATGCCTCCAGTGCCCCCTTCCCCCGCTCCAAAACAGAAAAAGCACCCATCTGCCCGCCCTAAAGCTCCTGGGAAGCAATAGCGCTCAAATGGTTCCTGCTTCGACCCCTGAAGCCGGTAGTAGGAAACGGGGACAGCTGTGAGAGCGGGGGAGACAGGACATCCGAGAAGGAGGAAAGGAAGTGTGAATGGTCGAGGACGAAGGGGACTGAGGATACAGAGAGGTGTGGGCAATGATGATAAAACGGTGAAGAGCCAGAAGGGCGAGCAAAGATCAAGAGAAAACAACAGAGGGAGAAAGGGAGGAGAAGTAGAAAACCCAGAAGAGAGAAAAAGGCAAAATGGAAGAGAAAAAGAAGGGAGGGGTCTAAAAGGACGAGGAGGGGGCGGCAAAGGGGAACGAGAAAGAGGCTGTCAATGGGAATGAGAAGAAAAAAAGGTGTCATTGTGAAGAGGGTGATTAAGGAGATGTCACCTGAAGGGGTTCACCTTAGCAGGTGGACTGGGGGCACAGGGAGAAGGAGCTGACTATCCGGGGGGCTGTAACTAGGAACTGAGGTTAAAGCTGGGGGTGCAGAGGGTGCACCAAAGCTAGGGAGGGGCAGGTCCGCGGGGGCTGGGGTGGCGGGAGGCTGCGGCTCAGGCAGGCCTCCCTCCCTCACCATGGCTGCGCTGGTCTGGTCCGAAGGCATGCAGCCTCTGTCCTGGGTTTCGCGGCGGGCCGGGCCCGAGCCCGCCCCCAGGCTGAGCCGGCGCAGGGGCTCCAGGAGGCTCCGGTGAGCGGCGGCTCCGGGCTCGGCCCAGGCCTCGGCCTCCTTCCCTCAGAAGCTGGAAGTGCAGCCGCAGCAGCCGCAACACTAACCGGAGCACAGACTCCGCCCCCGTGAGGCCCCGCCTTCGCTCGTGAGCCAGGTCTTGACCCGCCTCCTCCCTCACTGCGCAAACTCAACCGAGGGGCCGCCCCTACGCCGATCTCTTGCTTCTATCTGGCCAGCCCCTTAAAGGAGCCATTGGTTGGTTGGTTAGTTATGAGCGGTGTAGTCGGTTCAGACTTGTAGTGAGGGTACCCTGCACAGGGTTTCCGAGGCTGTAAATCTTTACTGGAGCAGAAAGCGTCATTTTTCTCCTGCGGAACAGCTGGTAGTTTCGAACTGCTGACATTGCGGTTCGCAGCCCGATTCGTAAACGCTACTCTACCAGAGCTCCTTTAAAGGAGCCATACTCACTCAAATTCTCCTCTCCTTATCCTTTAAAAATAATAAGAGATTTGAGATGTAACCACAGAGCACTAGCACACCCAGTCGTTTCACTCACCTAAAGACCCCTGGGTCAATCTCCTTCACTCTTTAATTCTCGTTCACTGTCACTAATATTTTTCATAATTCTTAGTTATTTCAGCATCCTCTTAGATAAATTTTCCATTCCTTCCTTTAAAGTTCCTTTTCTCTAGCGATCACTCTGCATCAGCCTCTCACTCTCAGGCTCTTTCAATAACATATAATCATTGTAATCACCCAACTCTCTCATTGTCTCATCTTTTCTAGCTTGTTCTTAAGTGCTGTGGAATCGAATCCACTCAGAATGACCCTGTACGGGGTTTCAGCGGAGCAGCTGGTAGGGTTTGATCAGCCCTCCTTATGGTTTGGAGTCCAATGCAGATCCTACAGCGCCACACTCCCTTAATACCACAACTCTAAAAATTCTTCAACTTCACAGACACTCAGAATCCACGGACACTACCTTTTCACTATCTGTCCTCACTTTTCTTCTTAATGAGATTAAATTGTATTGTCCATCCTGAAATTCATTCCCATGCATTTATTTCTCTAGTCCTTTTCTCCTTTCTTTGTACTGATCAGATGAAACTCCAAGGTTGAACTTGCAGCAAAACAAGGGATGGAGACTGGCGAGGGGGGAGGGCGGGGAGAAAAAAAATCTAAAATCATATCTACTGACTTTTTTTAAAAACCATGGAGGGTGAAAAAAAAAAACGAAAGAACCGGCTGTGTCAGAGACCCTTAAGAATAAGGGTAGAACTAAAGATTGGGAGTTGTTGTTGTTAAGTGCCGTGGAGTCGATTCCGACCCATAGTGACCCGTTATAGGGTTTCCAAGGAGCAGCTGTTGAGCTTGAACCGCCGACCTTGCAGTTCAAACGGCTTTGCAGTCTGGCGCATTAACCCACAGCACCACACCAGGACTCCTGGGTTAATGCGCTGGACTGCAATGTTGGATTGAACCACAACGTTGATGGTTCAAGCTCGGAAACCCCATACAAGACTAAGTCACTATGAGTCCAACCGACTCCACAGCACTTAAAAACAATAACAAAGAACAAGCGTCTGAGAAACAAGTTTGCCCAAAAGATGCTTCAAAAGGCGAGGAAGGTTAGCTCTGAAAAAGCCAAGCTTGTGTGGGGGAAGAAAGAATCCCCACTGAATAGTTTTCACCTTGTCTAGATGTTGTAGTTGTTAGGTGCCATCGAGTCGGTACCGACTCATATTGACCCTATGCACAGCGGAAGGAAACATTGCCTGATCCAGGGCCAACCTCACTACTGTTGTCACGCTTGAGTCCATTGATACTGCCACTTGGTCAATCCATTTTGTTGGGGGGTCTTCCTCTGTTTCTCTGACCCTCCACCTTATCAAACATGATATCCTTCTCCAGCAACTGATCCCTCCTGACAATATGTCCAAAGTATGAGAGACGAAGTTTGACTATCCTGGCCTCCAAAGAGCACTCTGGCTGCATTTCTTCCTAAACGGATCTATTGGTTCTTTTGCCAGCCCATGACACTTTCAATTTTGTCCTCCAACACCATAACTCAAAAGCATCAATTCTTCTATGATGTTCCTTATTCACTGTCCAGCTTTGTCTAGATGGGTCTGGTTAAAAGAGATGGGGATACGATTCTTATGATTCAATAGTGAGTAATTGTTATGACTAATTGCGACTGTAACAGTTGTAAAGGTAGAAGTTTTGTAACAAAAACAGGGGAGTAGTTAATTTCACAGTCCAGAAACAAGGACCCTAGGACCATCAAGGGAGAAGAACACAAGCGGAATGTGGGACCTTATCCAGAGAAGCAGTGACACCAGAGATGGGCATATGGAGAGAGGGAGCAGCTGAGGACTTTAGATTTATGTAAAGAGAGGGACAAAGAGATGGCGGCCAGGAGGCGGACTTGCAGAATGTGCCCTTTGGTGGTTTAAATTATTATATATGCCTGAGTGTTTAAAAAAATAGAGAGCCAAATGAATAAAGAGAAATACTGTTAACTGATGGTACATGGAGGGGATTATAAGTATTGTAATGAAACAAGATGTTTGATTTGTTGAATGTAAAACTGATGCTCTGCCCTGTAAACTTTCACTCAATCCACAATAAAAACCTTAAAAAAGAAAAGGAAAAGCCAAGATCTATCCCAAGGAATATAGGCAGATGTACAGAAGTGAGATTCAAATGGCTAGGATGGCAAGAAAAGCAAGCAACTTCTATGGACCTGGAGAGCCCAAACTGGCATTTGTTATCTGTATCAAATAAGTCAATGGTGTGAGCCCGAAGATTAGAAAGGTGTTGCAGATTGTTAGCCTTCGCCAGATCTTTAATGGCACCTTGGTTAAGCTCAACAAGGCTTCAGTTAACATATTAAGGATTGTAGAACTATATATTGCATGGGGGTACTGAAATCTGAAGTCAGTGAATGAACTGATCTACAGCATGGCTATATCAAAAATCAATTAAGAAGTGAATTCCCTGACAGAGAACATGTTGATTGTATGATCTTTTGGTAAATATGGCATCATCTGCCTGAAGGATCTGATTCATGAAATCTCTACTGTTGGGAAATGTTTCAAAGAAACAAATAACTTCCTGCCGTTCAAGTTATCTTCTTCACATGATTGGATGAAGAAAAAGAGCACACATTTTGTAGAAAGTGGAGATGCTGGTAACAGGGAATACCAGATCAATAGGCTTATTAAAAGGATGAACTACTGTGTCAACTATGATTATTTTTGTAATCTGGTCAGCTAATAATACAGTAACTGCTTTCAAATTGAAATTATTGTTGTACTGATTAATCTGTTCTTTTCCCTTCCCTTAATTATTATGATAAATCTTGGTGTGTAATAAAATTTAGTCAAATTGACAGTCCATTGTTTGTAAACCTAGAGTCCAGTGGATGTCATCTTGAGGATTAAGGTGCGCATGATCCAAGCCATGGTATTTTCAATAACCTCATATGTATGTGAAATCTGGACAGTGAATAAGGAAGACCATAGAAGAACTGATGCTTTTGAGTCATGGTGTAGGAGGAGAATATTGAAAGTGCCATTCGCTGTCAAAAGAACCAACATATCTGTACTGGAAGAAGTGCAGCTAGAGTGATCCTTGAAGGCTAGGATGACCAAACTTTGTCTCTCATACTTCAGACATATTGTCAGGAGGGACCAGTCGCTGGAGAAGGATATCATGTTTGGTAAGGTGGAGGGTCAGAGATAAAGAGGAAGACCCCCCAGCGAGATGGATTGGCAAAGTGACAGCATCAATGGGGCCAAGTGTGGCAACAATTGTGAGGTTGGCCCAGGACCGGGCAGTATTTCATTCTGTTGTACATAGGGTCACTATGAGTCAGTACCACCTCATTGGTACCTAACAACAACAACAACAACTACAGGGGAAAAAAAATCATACATACTGGTCTCACTCTAAATTCGATATTATCCTCAATAGTCATCTAAAACCCATTGCCATCAAGTCCATTCTGAGTCATAGGGACTCGATGGGACTTAGTAGAACTGCCCCATAGAGTTTCCAAGGTTGTAATCCTTATAGATTACCACATAGTGAGCTTGAAACACCGACCTATGGTTAGCAGCTTGATGCTTAACTCACTACACCACCAGGTCTCCTTAAATGAGTCCCTAATGGTTGGCTATGGAGTACTAGTGTGGTGCTGCAGGACAATACACTGGACCGTAAGGTCGGTTTGAACCGCAAGGCCAGTAGTTCAAACTCATCACCTGCTCCTTGGAAATCTTATATAGGGTTGCTATGAGTCAGAACCGACTCAATGGCACCTAACAATAACAATAACAACAAATAGTTGGCTATACCACTACATTTCTCCGGGTCCTGGAGTTGAAAAACCAAGAGAAGAGCATGCTCAGCGTTTCTCAAGATGAAAAAAACCTGACGAAAAAATTCAAGCCTAGGGTTACAATATCAAAGGATTCCATGGGCAAAATATTGAATGATTCAAAAAGTATCAAAATAAGATGGAAAAAATACAGAGGAGTCACTGTACCAAAATGTTCAACCATGTCGTATGATCAAGAAAAGATGTTAATGAAGGAAAAAGTCCAAGCTGCACTAAAGGCATTAGCATAAATAAGACTCCAGGAATTCAGAGACTATAGACTGAAATACTTCAACAAACTCAGCAGCACTAGAGACTCACACATTTATACCAAGAAATGTGGCCAACCAATTGGAAGAAAGCCATATTTGTGCCCATTCCAAAGAAAGATAACTCAATGGGATGTGGGAGCCATTAAACAATATCATTAATACCACATGTAAGCAAAATTTTACTGGGGAAAAAAGAAAGAAAAGAAGCTGCAATAATACATTAACAGAAAGCTGCCAGAAATTAAAGCCAGATTCAGAAAAGGATGTGGAATAAGGGAAATCACTGCTGACCTCAGATGAGTCTTGGCTGAAAGTAGAGCACACTAGAAAGATGTCTACCCATGTTTTATTGACTATGCAAAGGCATTTGACTGTGTGGATCATAACAAACTTATTAATTG